TGCTATTCCTTATAATTTATTTGTGGAGATTACTGGACTATTTATCCCTAAGTTTCCTGTGGTCTGTATTTCCTGAGTATATCCCTGTAGTGTTATTTTCTTGCCTCTTGGCATATCTAGCAATTATTATTGGTTTCTGGACATATAATGTCTGATTGTACCGTGTAGATTGTGCTATCTTCCTTTAAAGAGGCCTTGTTTTGTTGGCAGATCTTTTCTTTAATAGTTTAGCTCCACAACCAGAAAGATAGGTACTTCTGGGATCTTACTTGAATGCTCTATGCCATTTTGGTTGGTCATAGTTCAAAACCCTCGAAGGCTGTATTAGCTCTGGAAACCATTCAGCTTAAAGCTTCCCAGTTGCTCTTTGCCTCACTTATACTTGTGCTTTTTAATATTCACTCAAGGGAATCTCATGAAAATTTTTGGAGCTTTTTTTTTTTTCATTCAATTAAGTTTATTGGTACACTTTTAGGTATTCGATATGATGACATTCATCATTGGGAATTTGTACCTTTACATGATACATCTTGGTTCTTATTTTTTTTCCCTATTGCCCTGCCCTCCCTTCAACGCCTCCACCCCTCCCTATTTATAAAGACTTTGTTTCCTTTTTTTCCTTTTCTCATATTTATTCCTTTCCTTTTTTTCCTTTCCCCTTCCCCTTTGGATCTTTTCTTATTTCACATTATCTATTGCACATTTTGATCCATATTTACACTTTCAGTTTCTCACACCAAAGAAACTATTCAGTATTTATACATGTGTGTCCTATTTATTTCACTGAAGATATGCCTCAATGTGCATCCATTTAGCTATAAATCTCTAGTTTCTCATTCTTTATGGCTGAGTAGTACTGCATTTTATTTAAAAAAAAAAAAAGCACATTTTCTTTATCCAGTCTCCAGTTAATGGGCAATTGGGCTGTTTCCAAGTTTTAGCTATTACAAACTGTGCCGCTATAAACATGGGTGCACATATATCACTGTGGTATGTATGATTCTTTTAATTCTTTTGGAAAGATACCCCACAGGGGAATAGTTAGGCCAAATGGGACCTCTAATCCTAGTTTTTTGAGATATCTGCATACTGATTTCCAATCCAAAAATGGGCACCTGAAATGAACAGTTCTCAGACAAAGAAGTAACATATGAAAAATTGTTCAACATCACTGGTCATTCGAGAGATGCAAATGAAAACAATGCTGAGATTCCACCTCACTCCAGAAAGAATGGCCCCATCAATAAATCAACCAATAACAAATGCTGATGGGGTTGTGGGGGAAAAAGGAACCCTTCTTCACTGTTGGTGGGAGTGTAGACTGGTGCAACCACTGTGGAAATCAGTGTGGAGCTCTTTTCTTGTATAGCTTTTTCCTTGGGAATTCTGTCTTGCATTTTCCAGTTTCTTTAACTTCTCAGTGTTCATGCTTGAGAGTTTGTTTTCTCAACTCATGAAGCCATCCACCCTTCTCTGCGTATAATTACACTTTGTGCTTTGCAATCTAGAATGTCCTTCTGGCATGAAAACCAGAGCTATGTGATTTTTATTCCTTATGAGATGCAGAGTCATTTAGAAGTTTATAACCCAAAAATGGATGTATCTCAGACTTAAACATAAAATTACACTAACTACAGCCTTGATGAGCTAAAAGCAGGGGCAAATAGGAGGGCCAGTGCCGAGCATTTAGCTCAGTGGTTCCAGCGTCTGCCTTGCAAGCGCAAGGTGTCCTGGTACCAAAAAAAAAAAAGAATTGAGGAGGGCCAGTTAGGAAGCTATTGAAGAAACCCATATGGGAAAAGATAGTAATTTATACTAGGGTGATTGCAGTTGAGGTGGCAAATGGGTATCATGATTGGATAATGGGGTATTATAAAAAGAAAGGAAGCCATGAGTGGTGATGCATGCCTGTAATCCCAGCACTCAGGAAGCTGAGACAGGAAGATTGGTGAGTTTGAGGCCAGCCTGGACTACATAGTGAGACCCTATGTCAGGAATGAATAAATGAATGTATGAAATGAAGGAAGTTAATTTCTTTATTCCCATATCATTTTAATTCGATATCTGTTCTCTGATGTTGTCACAGACTTTGTTGAAGAAACAGGCTAGTCTGAGCCCCTTTTAGATGCTTTTTAGATAAGCATTTAGAATTCCCTGACTCTAGATGCAGTACAAAAATACAACATTTAATTAAACATTATAGAATTATATATAATGTACCAAATGAGAGCCCTCTATAACCTCTACCGCCATGATAACCATATCAGCAGTTTTGTGCAGTTCCTTTTTTCTCTACATACTATACATTTTTATTTAGATAATACTACTGACAAGACTTTATTTTTACTTTGGCTATTTCTTCAGGTTAGCTTATAAACTTAAAAGTGGCTGTAGCTGAATGTTCCATTTATAGACAGATATACATAACTAGTTTTCCACTTAGTGCTGTCTTTTAGAAATGTTTATATATGTATGGAGAGTTTTATTTTGTTTTGATGTTTTTTCTTTTTTAGGCTAGCCTTACAGCTTATCTAGTCAATTGATCTGTTCCTATCCTCCAAAGAAACAGAGGTGGGTTTGGGAACAAAGAAAAACTCCCAAGGAATTTAAGTTTTGAAGCTCATCTTTTCTAGCATGCATGTTCTCATTTGATAATTTCTACTTTTATGGTAATCTCTTTTCTTAGTTTTAATTGCTTTTTTTTTTTTTTACATCCAGATCTATATTGACTTTTCATTAGGGGATATACCCTAGCCATAAAATGGAATATTGCTAATGTCATACATGGAGAGTTAGTTGATACCATGGGGAGGAACCATAACCACACACACACACACACACACACACACACCCCACTTTGGGGTGGCCCTGCCTCTGGAAATTGAACCCAGGGCCTCATACATGTTGACAAACATTCTACCACTGAGCTTTTATATCCTCAGCTCCATCTTGCCCTTTTACTGTTTCTTATTTTGATGTTTGGTATCTTTTAATCTTGGTGCAGTTTTTAACTAACATTTTTCTGAATCCTTCCGTTTGTCTGCTGTGGCCTAGTTTTCATTCCTACCAACTTATCCCTCTCAAAATATTATCTCCAGAAAGCCAGCCCTAGTTAAATAAGGCACAAAGGATATTTTTTCTGCAAACCACAAATTAATGTTGTGTACGTGGAAGTGTCATGTTTAGTCATTTTCACTTCTTTTCAGTGACATCTATGACTGCATCTTAAAATTTTTAATTTGGTGCAGTTTTTCTGGTTTAACCTTCAAGGGACCTTCTTTTCTTTTCTTTTTTTGGTACCAGGGATTGAACTTGGGTCCTTGTGCTTGCGCAACACGTGGCGAAACCACTGAGCTAAATCCCCAGCCCGGGACCTTCTTTTCTTGCTACCTATGTAGTAGCTAAAAGGAAGAAGTTTGGGAATATTGATAAAGACCACACTTTTTAAATTAAGTATTCTTAAACCATTTTGAAGAGAAATCTGTGCTGGAAATAAATTCAGCTGCAGCAAATGTTACAGAGTTTTTGCTAGTAGAGTTTTGGTGCTACTTTTTTGTCTTTATTATAATGTTGCCATTTCTTCTAGGATACCTTTTCATAGTGCCATTTCCCCAGTAAGTTATTTCTTTTTCTTTTTTGTATTAAATTCTTTTATTGGTACATTGTAGGTATACAACACAATTACATTTCTCATTGGGAATTGTACCTTTACATAATGCATCTTGGTTCTTATTTTTTCCCCATTCCTAGCCCTCCCTTCACGCCCTCCACCCTTCCCTATTTACAAAGACTTTATTTCCATTTTTTCCATTTCTCAACATTTTTCCTTTCCCTTCTTTCCTTTCCCCTGCCAGTAAGTTATTTCTTCTAGGATAGGGTGCTGCCCAGATAAAGTTATGAGTCATGCTTGGCAAATGCCAGACTTGTTCACAGTAACACTAGAATATAAGACTCCTGCATTCAGCTTGACCTCAGCTTTTCTCCTCAAAGTCTAAAATTATTTAAATATCTTAATTTTTTACTGAGTTAAATCTTTTAAAGACTTTGATTAGTTCGTATTTCACTATGGACTGTTACTGGTTATTCTCCCCCCACATGTGCAACAGCAAGTTTAATGAAAATAATTTCTTGGAATTAATCTAACAAAGACAAGTAGTGCTAAGTGCTACGGCGCATGCCTGTAATCTCAGCTACTAGGAGACCAAGGCAGGAGGATCAGAAGTTTGGGACTAGCGTGGGCAATTTAATGAGACCCTGTCTCATAATAAGAGTTTAAAAGGGTGAGGGCGTAGCTCAGTAGAGCCTTTGCTTGGGAGCTGGGGGACCATTCAGTGAATACTCACCATACAAGATTGATTTTCATTTCTTAGGCATGAGCTTTGTAGTAGCAGATTTTAAACTAGCTTAAAGAATAGTCATTTATAGTTCTGAGAAACTTGCCATCTTGTGTGAGACCACCTCAATGTCTTATGGAATAGGTATGAACAGAAGAATTGGATTTTGATGGATCCAAGTTGATGAAGTTGCTGCAGAGGTCAAGTTATGTCCTAGAAATGAGGAGCCAACTACTTACCTTAGTAGGCAGTTAAAAACCATCAGGTGGTGGTCTGGGGATATAGCTCAGTGGCATTGCGCCTGCCTGAGCAAGGTTCTGAGTTCGATCTCACACACACGCACGCATGCACGCACCACATCAGGTGGTGAAAACATACAGGTGTTTTAAAAAGTGTTCTTAGCGCAGATTCAATATCTTTTCAACTATCAAGTTTGATACCTATGTAAGCACTTAGGACTTCAAATAATTGGATTTCATCTTTGAAAAGAAAGCTTGCTCAATCACTTTGAAGGTCAATTTGTTAGAAAAATGGAGTTTTCTTAAATTAAACATATTAGCAGTGTCATATAGCTATCTAGAAAAGTTTTCTGAATCTTTTGGATGGGTAGAGAGCTCAGTTTTTATCAGATGCAGAATTATCAGGATTTTGTTTGGCTTTTTACAGGTTCAGCGGAACAGCATCACCCGATCTGGCTGTGATGTGAATACCTCCTGTGCACTGTGTGGTTCAGGCAGTGTCAACACAATGCCTCCTGAAATCCACTATGAAGCCCCTCTGTTGGAACGTCTTTCCCAGTTGGATTCTTGTATTCATCCTGTTCTAGCATTTCCAGATGGTAAGAAAGACAGCATAATATAAAATCTAATTAAAGAGACTTAAAGGGTTCTAGATAAAAGAAAATCAGCCAAGGTCCCAGTGCAGCTCAGACATTCTAAGGGTACCATTTTTGGTCAACAAAATCTCAATTTTGCAGAAAGATGCACCAAACCAGAAAATGCTATTAGAAAGATTGCAACTTGCTAAGAGATTTCCTTTTTGGTCTTTACAGGCTGGAGTGAGGAGACCTGGGGAAGCTAGCCTAGGGTCAGTTGCCACTGATCACAAGTATATGTTGTCTGTGTGTACCATGATATAAAACAAAACAGGCAGCACTGTTCTTGGAGAATGTATTTACCTTGGCTGTGTGTGGTTACATGACAGTTTTTCAGGATCTTCAAGTGTTGCCATGCCCTCTTTTTCTAAGATTTACCTACCTAGTAAGCCTTTGTGTCTTCCAGTTCTCCCTTTTTGACAAAAGCAGCTATAGACAGTATGTAAACAAATAGGCATGACAATATTACAGTAAAACTATTTACAGTAAAGTCATTACCCTTCTCCTACAGAATCATCCAGTTGATGATTGTTCAAACATTGGATGACTATTATAATTCCTTGTTCTGTATCTGTTCTTCAAAATGATTGAATTGTTTCTTGGCCACCTAAATCTTGTAGCTACCAGTAGTTTTGACTTTTGTTACCAAAACTGCCTTTGACTATCAGAAGGATATAGGGTGACACTCCTGCTGCCATGTGACAAAAGAGTAAAAAATTTTAGGAACTTGAAGTACATGGATAGCAAGCTGGTTAGAACATAATGGGTAGAAAATACTCAAACCTTTTTTAACCCCATTGCTGGGAATTAAATCTAGGACCTTATACTGAACTACATCTCCAGTCTTTTTATTTTTGTCTGTTTTGTTTTATCTTTTGTTTTTTGAGACAGGGTCTCGCTGTGTAGTTCAGGCCAGTCTTAAACTTACTATGTAGTCCAAGCTGGCCTCAAACTTGTGACGATCCTTCTGCCCCAGCCTCCCAAGTACTGGGATTATGGGTATGCGCCACCACACTCAGCCTTTTATTTTTTTATTTTGAGACAGGCTCTTGCCAAATTGCTAAATTGTCCAAGCTGCTTGAGAGGCTGAGACAGGAGGATCGCTGCAAGTTTGAGGCCAGCCTGAACTACAAAGCAAGACCTTGTCTCAAAAACCCAAAAATGCCAGGCATGGTGGTACACACCTGTAATCCCAGCACTTGGAGGGCTGGGCCAGGAGGATTGCCTGTTGCATAGTGAGTTAAAGGCCAGCCTGTACTATGAAGTGAAACCCTGTCTCAAAGATAGATATTAGATAGCCTGGGCTGGACTTGAATTTGTGATCATCTTGCTTCAGTCTCCCAGAGTGCAGGCAAACACTACCATATCTGACTCAAACATTTTCCTTTGTGCTTCAGACTCCAGCATTGCCTTTCACCTTTTAATACTGGATTATAACTGGTATAACTTCAGTTAATTGGTGTAGCATTTTGCAGTTTATAAAGCACTTCTCTCATATTTGTCTCATTTGCTTCTTTCAGAAATCTTACAAGGTATTCCTTCAGTTTCACAGATCAAGGAATAATCTCAGGGTGTATCTTGTCCATAGCTAAATGGCTGACGAGTGAAGGGCTCTAGAATTCAAACTAGGGTCACCTGATGCCTATCCTTCCTTCACTGTATTCCATATTACTTCCCAGAAAGGTTATTAAGAGAAGTTAGGCTGGATGTGGTGGTACATGTGTTGAGTTGTTTGATCTCAAGTTTGAAGACAAAAAAGTCTGACACTTTTGTGTTCATTAGATACCACATGATAACCATGGTGGTCATTCTTTGTCAAAAGTATTACCATGGATATTTGTAGATGGGCTCCTCCATCACTGAACTAGGTATGTCCAAAACACCTGCCTGACATCTCTTATCCCATCACTCAGCATCTCAACTAGGAGGTAACCATTTCTTGTTAACACTTTCCATCCTGCTGACTGCATCATGCCTATACACCTTGACTGCTACCCTCTGTTGTCCTTTACTCTTTACCATGTCATCCCATTGCAGGCAAATAGCATCCCCTTTCACTGGTGTTTATCATTTTCATTTTGGGCACACACACACACCTACCTCTTAACCATAGCTCTGGGTTTTAGACAAGAGAATTGATCATTAAGTTCTCCTTATGAGACTGTAAATGAGATATAACTACATAAATAGAGATACAGATTCATCCCAAGTAGGATCTATGAACTATTATAGACCCCATTTTCATATTAATATTGTTGGTATTGGAATAAATTTGCTTTGATCCAAATAACTGCCACACTCAGAATGCAGTCTGTTTGTAAATTGGAGGATTCCCATAGCCATAGAGATGCCCAAATCCAGGGGCACTATTTACTTCATGTGGATAGCATTCCCTGAAGTATTGGTATTCCCTGCATGTCATTGTGTAGCAGTGTGCAACTTCAGCGTACTACTATGTGGTTCCCATGCTTGTGTACAGATTTGGCTACTGGACCACACTTTCGCAGCCTTTTTTCTAGATGTTTAAAGATAGCAGAACTTCTAGGGTTTTTTTTCCCCCCTTAAAATAAGGTTGAGTATATTTTTTGACTCATTTCTTTAATTCCTGTAGATTGTTACAGTCATGCAAAACCCTGATATAAAAAATGGTTTCATCGAATTGGTGGGGGGGGGTTGGTACTGGGGATCGAACTCAGGACCTTCTGCTTTCAAGGCAAGCACCATGCCACTGAACTTAATCCCCAGCCTGTTTCATTGAATTTTTAATCTCTTCATTTGTTGGATGTCTGTTGAGTTTCCCTTCTCCACATTTAGAACTATTTAAATGTGATACTTAGTTGTTCTGTACCCCAAATAACAATTCTTTTGTTGTCATTTTTGAGACAGAATCTCACCCTGTAGCTGAAGCTGGTCTTGAACTCAATATGTAGCCCTGGCTGGCCTTGACGTGGTGGTGATCTTCCTGCCTCAGCCTCCTGAGTGCTTTGATTACAGGCATGCACCACCATGCCCAGCTGTCTCCTACTTTTGTCACAATTTAGCCCATCTCAATACATATGCAATATCTAGGTAAGAAATTGCGTTAACCCGTACACACAGCCACTTCTATCCCTGGCTGAAGAAGGTAGGGGGATTAGGATGTAATAACCTATTGGTATTCCAAAGAGAGCTGCATTGTTTTCTTATCACTTTACTTCCTAGTCAATTTAGTTAATCCTTACTTAGAAACATAGAGGATGTATAACCTTGGAAAAAGAGTGTTAACTTTAAATTTGTAAAAAGGACTTAATAAGAACACCACCTACTGGCCAAGAAAATCTGCTGTTTCAAAAGATCTTGCCAAACTGCTTCTGAGGCTACTCTCTGGAGGAGGAAATGAGCATAACAAACAGCTGAAGAAAGGGAACTTGAGAAAATGTTGGAGAGTAATGAACAGAACTGTCAAGTGAATCATAGAATATCAGAACCTGGTGGTCCAGCAGTCAGATGTGGTGGCACACGCCTGTGTTACCAGCATGTGGGGCTGAGGCAGGAGGATTGCAAGTTTCAGTCCATCCTAGGCTATATAGCATATAACCCAGTCTCAGAAAACATGGTTCTGAGGTGGTGGGCCTGAAGTAAGGTTCTTTCGTTCACTTTTCATTTTATTTAAGGAAATAGCTATTTAAGATTAAATAAGTAATTGAGTTTTTTTTTTTTCTTTTTCATGTTTTTACCTGTTAAGGAACCCTTTTCTCTGATAATGACACTTTAACCTCCTTGCCTATGCAAGTATGGAATGTGGAATGTCCTCTAGCTAAATGGATCCTTCTTGGTGGTTGATTTTGTTTGTTTGTTTGTTTGCTTGCTTGCTTTTGGGAGGGGTTGGGTTGGGTTGGTTTTGGTAGTACTATGATTTAAATCCAAATCCTTGTTCATGCTGTACTGCACCCAGCCCTTTTTATTTGTGTTTTGAGACAGGGTCTTGCTAAGTTGCCAAGGCTGGCCTTGAACTCAAGATCCTCCTGCTTCAGCCTCCCACATAGCTGTGTGCCTATTCCCAGCCCTGTTGTGTTTTCTTCCATTTCATATCCATCATTGGCCTACTCTGAGTTCAGGCTGTCCTCAAACTATTGGCAACCCTCTGCCTCTGCCTCCCGAGTTGCTGAGATCACTGGCATGCACCACCACTCTTGGCTTTTTTGGTTGATTTTTGAGACAGAGTGTTAGTATGTATCCTAGGCTGACCTTGAACTCATGGTCCTCCTGCTACAGCCTCCTGTGAGTTAGAATTACATGCATATTGCCATCATGCCTGGTTTCAGATTTTTAACTTTTTAAGTTTTAGATATTACTATTTAGTATATGAACCCCGACCATCAATACTTAGGAGTTCATGTTTGTTCACTGACTGAGGGATTTAAGTAGTTTCTTGTTCACTCTTTGTTTTGTTTTGTTTTGATTTTTCCAGTACTGGGGATCGAACTCAGGACCTTGTGCTTTTGAGGCAAGCACGGCACCACTGAGCTAAATCCCCGGCCCTTCTTGTTCACTCTTATATGGAAGGAGTTAAAAGAATACACAGTAAACTTTTGGCGAAGTCTTGCAGCCTGAGTCTCTTAAAGTTTGTTATTACCTCTTAATGCTGTTTAATACCTCAACTATAGAGCACACGGTGATGCTTTACAGTTTTACTGACTTCCATTTAAGAACACTAAAATGGAGGAGGGGATTAGGATTGAGGTTTTAGTTGAGTCAGTGATTCAACACATTAGAATTGAGACACATGACATTCATTTAGTCTAGCAGTAACAAATAAATGTTCCTTTTTCAACCCACTTAGTAGGGGAGGGGTTTTTTTCTCCCCCAAGAATCTAATGTCTTGGGTAAAAGATGAATGACTATTATGCTTGGTTAACTTGTGTCTACAGCACAGGGAGTAGGGGGTGGTTAGAGGATGTGCTAGGACATTAGTAGCCCTAATCTAGCCCACTGCTCATTGTTAATATGAAGATTAAACCAGGATCGTGCCACACTCCTGTGATCCCACTACTCTGTGAGAGACTAGGGCAGGAGGATCATAAATTTAAGCCCAGCCTAGGCAAGTTAGAAAAACCCTGTTGCAAAATTTAAGTAAGGGCTGGGGATGTAGTTCAGGTGCAAGGCTTTGGGCTCAATCCCCAGAGCAGGCGCATGTACCTGTGGGTGTGGGTATGCGAGAATATGTAGGCTTTAGCCTGGCTAGGTTTTGGAGTGTGCTTTTGGAGTTCTGGTATGTATGTATGTCCTTTGCCAGTTGGGGTAACTCATCTGCTGACAGAGGGGTTAATTGGGATGTGCAGAACGTATTCTGCCTTTTCCCTAGCCTTCACAACATCAGTGCTTTTAAACTTGATTGTTGATCAAGTTGGAATAGGTGAGTTTTTTGTTTTGTGATACTGAGGATTGAACCCAGAGCCTTCATATTCATACTAAGCTATATCCCCACCCCTTTTTAAAATTATTTTGAAACAAGGTCTCACTAAGTTCCCCAGGCTGGGCTCTATACATTCCAGTGCTCCTGCTTCCCAGAGTACTATAATTACAGGCCTACAGCACTGCACCAAACTATGAATTTGTTTTTATGTATGGAAAAGAATGATTATGGGGGAAATTTTGAGAAGATAGCACAGTTCTCAGAGACTGTCTTATTACTTGGACAAGTCGAAAATGTTTGTTGTCATTAAAATTTTAATAATTTTTGTAATTTGTTTTGTTCCCTTAAAGTCTAGTATTTTATTCTGAGATCTGTGGTGCTGAGGCTGATTTCCTTTTGGGGGAAATCAATTCCTGAGAATGAACCTAGGGCCTTTGCACTGAGCTATATCCCCAGATTTTTTGTTTTTTTTAAAACCTTCTATTATTTTATTCTGAGACCAGGTTCTCACTGAATGCCCAGGCTGGGTTCACATTGTTATCCTCCTGCCTCCCAGAATGCTGATATTAGAGACATGCAGAGAAATTTTCGGTTGTTTTATTCATTTAAGGTTATGTTTATTCCAGTCATAAAAGGCTTAGTATTCAGATTAGTTCTTTTTTTTTTGAGTGTCATGAAATCTATTTATACTGTAGGAAAGAGTGGTTAACTTTTTTATAGTCTATAACTCCATTGAAAAATGGCATTTATTCTTCATTTCATTGGGAATAACTTGAGAAGTATCAGACTTTACCACAGAATCACATCTTTCTGTGGTCTCATGATGTACTGACTACGAGTATGGCTATCAGAATTGGGTAATACGGTTTGAATGTTAGCTGTTACTAACTGGGTAACCTTAGGCATAGTTATTTCACCTCTCTGAACTTGTTCCCTCTCTTTAAGCATAATGATGCTTACCTCATGGAATTATGAACATTAGGTGATAGGCACACACAACGCCTGTCATCTAAGAACGTGTTCAGTAAAGTTAGTCCTCTCTTCCCTGTCTCCCTACCCAAGTTCAAATTGAGCACATCCTATAATCTCTCTGGAAGCCAAACATTTATAAAACCATTTACAAAATATATTAAGTAGAATAAATTTCTCATAGTTGTGAAAAAGACATGCCATCAATGACTAGAACTTGCAGTGAGTTTTGAAAGATGAGAAATAGGCTAACTGGAGAAAGAAACAGGATAAAGTAGCCTCAAAGCACATGCTGGAGTAAGCGCCTGTGGAATGGGAGCTATTTAGAGAGGGTTCTTCTCCTAGAATTAAAGGGCACAAAGAGGAGGACCCTGGGCAGTTGTTTGAGTAATAAACTTGGGCTCATTTTGGAATAGCTGGGTTGGATTTTTTTTTTTCCTGTACCCCACCAGTACCTTTAGCTATCAAGTAGTGGTGTTTTGTTTTACGCTAAAAGCAATGGTATAGACTCGGGTTGGAACTTGTGAATGTTCCATGGATTGTTGCTGATTCCCTGGGGAAACTAGAAGCCAAAGAGAAACATGCTAAGTTTTAGATTAAAATTACCCTGTTAAGCTTTGCAGAACCCTTAAAAAAATGTCATCCCTATATCCAAAGTGGTCAAATGTCAGAATACTGAAAACATAAAAAGGAAAATCTGAAAGTTAGAAATTGTCACTACAGATCCTAGCCAGAGTAGTAAAAGGCTTACAGACTAGAAAGAAAGAAGTGTGTCTGTTTGTAGATGGTACACATGGACATATGTGTAAAATTCTGTGGCATCAATAAAAAAGCTGTAATGAAAAAGCTTTTTAAAAGGTCACAGTATACAAGATTATTATATTACAATTTATTATACTTCTATAAACTAGTAATGGACAAGTGGAAATTGAAATTTTACAACCACTGTTGGGCTGGAGGTGTAGCTCAGTTGTAGAATACTTAACTCCCATTCATGAAGCTGTAGGTTCAGTCCATAGCACTGCAGAAAAAGCAACAGTGTCATTTTGTTTCTGTCTTTTCCATACTAGGGATTAAACCTCGGGCCTCACACATGCTAGGCAAGCATTCTACCACTGAGCTATATAATCCCAGCCCCAAAAGAGTACCATCTTTTAAAGCAACATCAGAGATCATGAAATACTTACTTCACAGTAAGCTTGACAATCATAAGACCTTTTAATGGAAGAAAGCTACCAAACACTGCAGGAAGAAAGTTTTAAGAAAAGGTAAATAAAGGGAGAACAATTATCAAAAGACTTGGTGTCCATGGCAAAACAGGTGGCATTCTCACCACATTGATTTGTGTAGTCAGTACAATACCATAAGCTTTTTAGTTTTGGGTTTTGTTTGGTTTGGGGTTTTTTGTTTTGGTAAAAGCTTAAAAGCTAAAAACCAGACCACCTGCAAGTAAGAAAGAATCAGATTCTTTCTAGTGTGTAATATTGGATGTTCGACTATAGTGGAACAGAATTTTAAAGATCTGAGCGAAAACTAGTTATCTTAAGTCCAGAATTCAATTTCTAAAATTGACTTAACGAACTCATTTAGTGCACAAGGGCTGGTTGTAACTCAAGTTGATCATTTGAAGGCTCAGGCTCCTCTACACAGCCTTCAAAATCTCTCTCTCCTGCATCCAGGAAAATCTCAGTGTCCTTAGAGAGACATTGGCCCAGGATTTCTTATTAACCCCACACAGGAAAGGATGCTGTATTGTTCCTTCCAGAACTCTTTAAGGGTTAAATCTGTATCTGAGACCATCTGGAAGCACAAGTGGCCAGCATTTGGGTCATAACTCAAGACTTTGTAAGTGAAAACTAAAATGCCAGTCATAACCCAAGTTGTTTGTATGTCAGGCCAGTCGTGACTCAAGGGTCCACTGTGTTCCTGGGAGAATAAAAAATGAGTCTAGAAAATGAAAAATTTTAAAAATAGAAAAAAGTTTAAAATTATAATTAAGCTTAAAAGATAATTGATTTGTGAGGTTGTTTCTGGTTTTTGTGTTTTTCTGGTTTTTTGAGACAGGGTCTCGCTGTATAGTTCAGGCTGGCCTTGAACTCATGGCAATCCTGCCTCAGCCAAGAGCTGAAATTAACAGTTGTACACCATCATACCCAGCTTTTTGATATTTACTATTAGCTTAAAAACAAACAAAACCCTCAGATAATGTTGAAGTGGGGCTATAGAGGAAGGAAGGAGACCAGTATAACCTCTTATTTTGAGTTTATTCACAACAGTTTTTTGGTTTTGGTCTAGCCAGGGTTTTGATGGGGGGCTGGTATTGAGTATAGAACCCAGGAAGCTTAAGGCCTGCTAGACAAGCACTCAACCAACTGAGCTACACCCAGCCCTTGTGAGACAGAATCTCACTAAATTACCCAGGCTAGACTCAAGCTTGCAATTCTCCTCCCTCAGCCTCCCAAGTAGTTCAGATTACAGGCTGTGCCAGCATATCCAGCAGTGTTTGGGATCTCCCCCACTGCTGTGCACATAATCCTGAACTTGAAAGTGAAAGGCCAGAGTGACTTGCTTTGAATAGAAGAATGACCTTCAATAATGGTCTTCCATATGATACCCTCTGCCCTACCAAGTGTCAAGCCACTAGGCAAATAAAAGAGGGGTATGATACAGGTATTGAGCACTGGAAAGTAAGCATGACTGGTGGTTACTCCTCACATCATGAGAGAGGAGCCTGGAGACCAGTGTTTGGACTGACCGGTGATATTTTGTGTTTCCTGCAGATGTCCCCACAAGCCTGCATTTCCAGAGCATGCTGAAATCTCAGTGGCAGAACAAGCCTTTTGACAAAATCAAACCTCCCAGAAAGTTCTCACTTAAGCACAGAACACCCATGCAAGGCAGTCTGACGGATCCAACTCGAAAAGACCGGCACAAGTTGGTCAACTCCTTCTTAACAACAGCCAGTAAGTTTCAGGGAACTCTAGGAGATCCTCCAGAGTCCCAGTTCTTAATTTTCATTCTTTTTATATTCTCAAGTCACTAGTTTGCCATGCCACCAGTATTTTGGGGTTGGGCAAGAGAGTTGTCTCATATAAATTCATTTCACAGTGTACTACCTCTGCTTGTCTTGGATGCTCTCAGATGGACTTTGGAAGCTGTTTTAAACACCATGACTCTTGTGGCAAGATGCAAAATGCTCAGTGAGCAGCCAGCAGTAGCATGGCACTGGGTCCATCTATGAGCAGGCTACTTTCTGTAGCCTGGTGTCACAGTTTTCTAGTTGTAGTGTCCTTGAGCCTATTGTAGCCATTGTATTATTTACTAGAGTCTTCAACCCCAAAGGATTATCCTACTGCCCTGTGTATATAGCATTGGCCTAGAGAAAACTCAGGAGCTTAAAACTCAAATAAGATTTGAGAGAAGGTATCTCAAGCTCTTTTTCTGTTCCCCTCTTCAGAGCTGTCCCATCACCAAACCCGGCCTGACAGGACCCACAGGCAGCAGTTAGACGATGTGGGGGCCGTGCCCATGGTGGAGCGAGTGACAGTGCCAAAAGCAGAGCGCTTGCTCAACCCACCGCCACCCGTGCATGACCCAAACCACAGCAAAATGAGATTGCGAGACCATTCATCTGAGAGAAGTGAAGGTAGGGCCAGGCCCGGCACCTCTACCTGCATTTGCATCTGCTCAGGGCTTTCTTAGGGGCAGCCCAGACTTCTCTTAACTGCCCTCCAGCTTTGTCCTTCACTTTCTAGGAAAACAGAGTAGGGGGCACTACTGCTTTTAAATACAGGTCATGTCATATGCCGCAGCAACCTCTGCCCAGTCCCTTGCCTCCCATCAACCAGTTTGCTTCATCTTTTTATCCTCTAGGCTTAGAAAGCATTTTTGCCTTTAGTGTGTGTTGCTGGCATTCCTAACTTATTTGAGAAGTAGATATGGTTAAGATAGCCACGTATTCCTCTTTTCTGTTGACTTCTGCAGTGTTAAAGCATCACACAGACATCAGCAATTCGAGCTACTTGGCAACCACCCACCATACTCCACACAGTCCCTTGGTGCGACAGCTCTCCACCTCATCAGACACCTCTGCGCCCACCAGCTCTAGCTCACAGGTTTCAGCCAGCACATCTGTAAGTACCGGGTACAGTTGACTGTACATCCTCTCTGCAAGTGATCATTTGTTCATGTGGGTTTGGAAGACCATATAGAGGGTGGATCATGAAGCCCAGGACATTAATGGAAACTCGTTGTTAAGCCAAAGTGATGGTATTTGACGTTCTGCCAAAAGTTGTTAACCTTGGGTTGTTTTCTATAGTAGAGGTGGATTTGTGCTGAGCCATCCATAAAAAGTTTGATGCAGACAGACATCAGAACCATTCCAGATTGTGGAACTAAGTTTCACACAGAACTCTACAACTTTGTGGCCTAACTGAAGAAGCGAACATGAGAGGAGGAATAAAAGAGAAATACCTGTGGGCATTGGAGACAACAGTTGATCTCCTTGCTTCTGTTCTGTTGGTGAATGGAGATAGAACAGTGCAAATTAACTGCAAATGTTAGGGTGTTGAAAGGGAAGGAAGAAGACAGAGTTTGTGCTTTTTTCTTTTTTATGTGCGGAGCATAATTACAGATCCAGCAGATCAGTGGGGTGGCATGTACACGTACTCACAGTGACAGGCCACTTGTGGTGCCTTTTCCCCCACTCTATTAGCTTTCATAGGACAATGCTACATCTAGAAGCTGTTTGCATAGTCATTCCAGACATAATTCTGCTTGATTTTTTTTAATCCCTCTTAAACATTCTAATGTGTACCCATTAAAGGGTCTTTTGTATGATAATTATAGTAATAGTTGTAACAGTAATAATAATAATACAACTTTGGAGCTGTAATGTTTATCAAACACTTGTGCTTTATATATATCATCCTGTTTAATCCCATAATGCCTTTTGAAATGTAGGTGGGATTATGGATTCCTATTTTGTGGACATGAAAATTATGGCTCTCCAAGGTTAGATAAATTGCATAAGGTGAGGCAGCTTGTGAGGGTTATAGTTATGTTTCATACCTGGCAGCCTGACTGCAGAGCCAGCTCTCACCATTACACTACAGTCTAAACCTGCTTGGGAACATGGCAGAAGTGATTTACACAGCTCCCTCAGAGCAATCAAGAAACATTGAAGCTCACAAAATATGCTTACTAGGCTTCTGTCATCAGATAGGAATTCACATTGTTCTCTCTTTGCTCCTACAAATCCAGACCATCTTCTAAATAGTCACCTTTTTTTTAGTACTGGGGATTGAACTCAGGTCCTTGTGCTTGTGCAGCAGGCGGTGAAACCACTGAGCTAAATCCCTAGCCCAGCCACCTTCCTTCTTTATCTCCTCCACTCACAAAGTTTGTTTGTTTGGTTTTTTTTTTTTTTTGGTACCAGGGATCGAACTCAGGTCCTTGTGCTTGCATAGCAGGCGGGGAAACCACTGAGCTAAATCCCATCCCCATAAAGTTTGTTTTAAAGGTGTGTTGGTATCCCTCACACACCCAGTTATACACCAATAAAGGGTTTCATGTAATCAGAGGATGTAGAAGAATCTAATTTTGACTGAAAAATCTGAACTCCGAGATTCAGGACTTGGTGAATATATCACCATTTTTCTCACCTGTCAGCCCTCCTGAGTTTGGAGGCATGCGCGCGCGCGCGCGCGTGTGTGTGTGTGTGTGTGTGTGTGTGTGTGTGTGTGTGTGCGCGTTTTGGTTTTTTGAGACAGGGTCTTGCTATTTAGTTCAGGCTGGCCTTGAACTCACTATGTAGCCCACACTGGCCTTCAACTCATGGTGATTGTCTGCCTCAGTCTCCTGAATGCTGGGCGGTGCTGTGTGCACCACCACCCTTGGCCTGGAGAATGGAATTTTTACTTACTGAATGGAGATTTTATGTATAGCATTGTGCTGACTCTTAAGGCTCTCATTGCCAGATTTGTGCAGTGAATCTGGATTTGTTTAATAGTAAATCCAGTGATAGGCCAAATTCTTGCAGTTAGGTAAAGAAGCTGGATGACACTGGAGAAACTGTGAGGGGTAGGAGGCAGGCTATTTGTGGCTTCACAGAAATCAGTGGGTGCATCAGAATTACCCCAGTAGCTTTTTTTAAAAACCCTGAAGATTCAGAAGAAGGAATCCCAGGACGTTTTCTTTCTTTGCTTGTTTAAATTTTTAAGTACTCCTTATCTTATCTCAGTTTCTGATGTAAAACTAAGTTTAGGAACCACTTGCCATTCTCATTGCTTGCTTTCTACCTCTGCCTCTAAATAGGAGTGAGTAATGAAGTTAGACCAAATGAGTAACTAACGGAATCTGGGTATCTAGGCAGAGGTGAAAAGTACAGCCTATTGGACAGTCTCACAAGCCTATTTGTCTGAAGGTATAAACAGGTGCAAGAAATGTAGGGAAAACACACACATACTTGTTTCTGCCAGCCAGCAGTTTCACCACCACCACTGTTTGGGGATAGAATATAGGGCTTCCTCACTGTGCCACATCCCCAGCCATTTTCTGTTTTGACACAGGATCTCAGTAAGTTGCGGAGAAGACTGGGATTATAGGTGTATGCCACCACACCTGGCTACACTTTTTTTTTGTACTGGGGATCAAACTCTGGACCTTGCACTTTCGAGGCAAGCGATGGCACCACTGAGCTAAATCCCAGGCCCCTACATTTATTTTATTTTATTTTATTTTTTGGCCAAGATAGAGGGAAGACTGTCTCCTGAGGCTTTGGGGTGGGGGCGGTGGAGTGGCAGTACTAGGGATGGAACTTAGGACCTCGAGCTTGCCAGGCAGATGCTGTGCTCCTGAGCCATATCCCCGGCCCTCCTGAGGCTTTCTTCCACTGTATTTCTGTTTTGGTTTTGGTTTTTTTCTTTTTTTTTTTTTTTTTGTTTTGGTTTTTTGAGAGAGGGTCTCATGTAGTTCAAGCTGGCCTTGAACTCACTGTGTAGCCCAGGATGACCTCAAATTCTCAATCCTCCTGCCTCAGCCTCCCAAGTGCTGGGATTACAGGCATGCACTACCACTCCTGGCTCTTAGCAAAGGATTTCTTGTGTGAGACATAGAACTTCAGCAGAGATGTGGCTATAAGAAGGTCTGGATATGAAATCACTGAGCCTCAGCCAGGCAAGATTTATAAAAATCTCTTCAGACATTTGGCTAAGCATTTACCCTAAATTTGTGAGGTCAGTGACAGTCTCGTCTTACTGATAAAATTGAAATGAAAAGGACATTATGATCATCTGAAATCATAAATGATAGCAGCTAAAATCCTGGCCCAGGAAGTACTGATTTTTAATATTCTCTGAGAATGCCCTGTCATGGGATGAACAAATGGTATGTCACCTTCCGGGAATAGAAAGAATAGTTGTAGGGAACAGCTTACATTGCCTTGTCTCCCTTCATGAACTCTCTACCCCTGCCACACTTGGTAGTTTGTGTGTGAATGCGGCCTCTTAGGTGTTTTCAGCTGTATTGTTGCCATGACAGCGTGTTTGTCATCCCACTATTTCCCTCTGACCTTTCACAGCTCAGTTAACAGTGTGTTTCAGGATAAGTTATTTGCTGTCTGGGCAGAAGCAGCTAGTCAACTTTTTCTACCATCTGAGAGAACCAGGCCATTTGGCTCCCTGCTTTATTCCTTCCTGATTGCTCAGCCACCTTTCCTCTGACTTTGTATCCTTGGAAGTCTTTATTTCCCCAGGGGTTTGATCTTCACTTTCTATAAAGCACTTTGCTTTCTCCAGAGGTATAGGTAGGCCCTCCTCTTCAGTCTCTTTTTATTCATTTCTGTTAATACAACTGGAAGCCTTTTGGCTCTTTCTTCAAGAATAATAGAAGGAGAACTCACATAAGGTCTGAGCAGGTGGTGAGTACAGATTTAGCTGGAGTTCAGATCTTGGAGGGAGAGGGTCCTTTCATGACAGACAAGGTGAGATAACCTGTTGAGATGGGCCCTATCTTTCAGAGTAAGGGAATTCAACACTTAAACCAAAGAATCATCACTAAGCATGAGCATTGCTTTTTAGGTATAAGTCATAAATGGGTAAATGGGATTTGGGGAGGGGGGGACACAATGTCATGCTATGTACTTTAGGCTGACTTTGAACTCACTATGTAGGCCAGGTTGGCTTGAACTCGCAGTGATCCTCCTCCCTCAGCCTCCCAAGTGCTGGGATAACAGGTATGTGCCACCACACCCACACCTGGCAAAAACAGGAATTTTTAAAAGGGAGTGTTAATACAGATGTTTGTGGAGGAGTAAAAACCCTAACAATTGATTTTTTTTTTTTTTTTTGGTACTGGGAATTGGACTCAGGACCTTGTGCTTTTGAGGCAGGTGGCAGAACCACTGAGCTGAATCCCCAGCCCTTGAATTTTTTTTAATAAATTTTGTTTTCCTTTTTTTTTAATAAATTTTATTTCTAACAATTGATTTTTAAAAGCCAGGATACACCCGCCCTTATAAAATTCAATATGGTCATTTCACATGAGTCTGTGAAGGAGGAGGGTGGCCAGTGGGTCTTGTGAATGGGAGTTACTCTTGGGGAACACCTGTATTTCCCCCAAACAGAAAAGAATTATTTTTCAAGTAATATTTAATTGAAGAAAACATTCTTAATAAAAGCATTAAAGAGAAAAGGTACTAAACTATATTTTTAATAATATAACACAGATATGATACAATGTATTGTTAATAGTGTGTGATAAATTTACATTTATAAGATGTTAATTTTAATATATATTGGGGAAATACTATATAATAAAATGGAATAAAGGACCATTTACTCTTTATAACTTTGATAATATAAACAGGAGATATTAATTTATTAAATTATTAATGAATTTTTAAATTGAAATACCCAATAAGCAAAATCAGTTAGCTTTTAGTTCTGATAAGTACCAAAACTTACAACTAAAAAAATTAATAACTGGTTACTCCACCCTGGGCCATAAGCATAGCAGACATTTATAAAACAAAAGTCCACAATATCTCATATAACAAATAATAAATAATAAATTGAAGAGTTTTGGTTGGATTTGGTTTGGGTTTTTTTGCAGTACTGGGGATCGAACTGAGGACCTTGTACTTGAGAGGCAGGCACGGTGTCACTGAGCTAAATCCCCGGCTGAAAAGGTTTTTTTATTTGAGCTTTGATCTATAGGTTAATGATGTAATCTCTTACACAAACTGAGTGACACATTCTTTACCATCAGAATTAAAAAGTCTTTGAAATGCTATACATTTTAAAACTTGGCCTGGTGGCACACGCCTATATTCCCAGCACCAGGGAGTCTGAGGCAGGAGGATCTCCATGAGCTCAAGGCTATCCTATACTACTTAGTGAGTTCAAGGCCAGCCTGAACTCAAAATGAGACTGTGTCAACACCCCACCCCAGTACATTTTATTTGAGTTTTTTTGTTAGTTTGTTTTTGGAGACAAGGTCTCACTATGTAGTTTAGCCTGGCCTTGAACTTCTGGCAATCCTCCTGCCTCAGCCTCCTGAACTCTGGGATTATAGACATGTGCTACCACACCCAGCTTGTTTGTTGTCTTCTGTTGTGTTTTGTTTTGTTTTTTGAGACAGGACCTCACTTTGTAGCCCAGACTGGCCTTCTTCCTCAGCCTTCTGAGTGCTGGGATTACAGGTGTGCACCACTATGTCTGGCTCAAAGTCTGTCTTCTAATGACCTAAATTGGCTATCTGGAGGTATACAATTGATTCTTCATCCTACATTATTCCCTCTTTTCCTGGTAGTAGTCTTGGGTGTCAAGTGTTAATCTTCCAATTTGAAAAATATTTATCCATTACAAATGATGTTTTTTGTATATATTTACCCTATTTTGTATTTCTCTTTGTGTTTAATAAAGCAAAGCCTGGGCCAGGGATTTAGCTCAGTGGTTTTGCCGCCTGCTGTGCAAGCGCAAGGACCCGAGTTCAGTCCCCGGTACCAAAAAAAATAAATAAATAAAGCGAAGCCTACTGACTTTTTCCCACTGAAAAACATTTTCTAAAACTTTTCATGATGTAAATAAATTCTATGTGATAAGAAAGAGTCTCCTCAGTGTAAGTTGCTGCCCAGTCACTACCAGGCTCCACCCAAGGACCCAGATGTCTAGTTATTACAGATCCTGCTGTAACCCTTGGGTGAATGATGTTGGTAGAGTTGTACCTCCCCTTTAACTTAACCTTTGTCTTACAGCAGCCAGTAAGAAGGAGAAGGGGAGAGAGCTCATTCGATATTAACAACATTGTCATCCCAATGTCTGTCGCTGCAACAACCCGCGTAGAGAAACTACAGTACAAGGAAATCCTTACTCCCAGGTAGAAGCTCTAAATAACCAGCTCCTCTCCCATTCTTCCTTTTCTCTTGTAACGAAGCTTTGAACCCTAACCTGGGGTGCTATCTTCTCTTTAAAAGAGGATATTACCAAATAAGAGTGAAATGACTTTTATGTATAGCTCTGTCTCATTCCATGATATAAATTCTCTGACTAGACTAGAAGCTACAGCTTGGCAGGCCACTGGCCATTCCTGGTCTGTAGGCATAGTTGTTTATTTGTTTGTTTGTTTGTTTGTTTGAGAAAGGGTCTCACTTGGTAGTGCAGGCTAGCCTTGAATTTACATGTAGCCCAGGCTGGCCTCGAACTCTTGGCAATCCTCCAGCATCAGCCTCCTGCGGGCTGGGATTACAGGCATGTTTTGTTAACGTATACGGTGTGTTTTAAAATACTGAATTTGTTGTCAACATCAAAGCAGGATTTCACATAAAGATATTTCCAGCTTTTGTCCTCAAATCAAAAGATGGAGCAACCCTGTAGTGCCAGTCCACTGTTAGCAGTGTTTGTTCCCTTTAAACAGGTCCGTTTGCTTGAATTTGTTATCCCATTCCCAAACCCACCACCAGCTTACTTCTATTTCTGGCCTTTGGGGATATTTGAGTATAAGGCCTGTTTTAGACACCTGTCATTCCATGATCTTTCCTCCTGTTTTTGCAGCTGGCGAGAGGTTGATCTTCAGTCTCTGAAGGAGAATCCAGAGGAGGAGAATGAGGAGGTAATGGTTATACTCACACGTGTGTAGACATACTTGAGATGCCATAAGATGTGTCTGAGTGAAGTGCAGGCTCATCATAGTCTTGCCCTGACCACGAAGAACCTAGAAAATCGTGGGGCTGGTATGCACTTCACTATGCTTAAATTCACCTTTGAGGAGGGGATGGACAACCAACGAACCCACTCTGTTGCAGATTGAAGACCTGTCAGATGCAGCCTTTGCCGCTCTGCATGCCAAATGTGAGGAGATGGAAAGGGCTCGGTGGCTGTGGACTACAAGTGTACCACCCCAGCGGCGGGGCAGCAGGTGATGGGGCAAGCACAGGTCCCCAAGGCCCACGGGGAAAGGTGGACAGGGTGTTCGAGCTCTACTTGTATCCACAGAATTGCCACTGCCTCCTTGTTGCTCTTCATATTTATCTACTGGCAATGGCTGAGAATGTAAAAATTCCTTGGTATTTGTTGGAACTGGTAGATATATAAGTCAGGTGCTAGATCCTTACTAAGTGGTTCCTGTTCAGTTCTCATAAATTCTAGTGATCAGCTGTGGTACTTGGAGGCCATTTGGCATGAAATTTAGCAAGAGGAGCTTTTAAGGCCTTATCTGAACTTAACCCTCTTTTGGGTAGTGGACTGTGCTTTTATGGTCATACTTCAGAGAACTGTCCCATTTACATGTCATTGTCCTGTCTCTATTCCTAACAGTAGCAGAAGGCTACAGATTCTTAAATAGATTTTGGGTCTTCAGTTCTGCTGGTTATGTTTTTTGTTTTGTTTTGTTTACAACAATTTTCAAAGTCTGGGAAAATTTCTATATCCCCATGGGTTCATGAGGCAGTGTGGCAGGGATTAGCCAGAGGAGCTTTGAAGGTCATTGTTCAGCCATGGCTTTCTCTTAGGATGATAGCACACACAGTTCTTAGACATCATATTGTAAACCTGCCCCTTTGGGCAGCAGTGAAAGAAGTGAGATTTGCTGGCTCACAGGAAAACACTATAGGTGTCAGTCTCAGCTCCTTGGTAAGGATGCCTTTTTCATGCCTCCTCCTCACCTCCAATCCCCCCCAAACAGACAAATTCCCTATTACTCAGGTACTGACATCTATCTTCCTTGGTGTACAGGTCTTACAGATCATCAGACGGCCGGACCACCCCCCAGCTGGGCAGTGCCAACCCCTCCACCCCACAGCCCGCCTCCCCTGATGTCAGTAGTAGCCACTCTCTGTCTGAGTTCTCCCATTGTCAGTCCCCTAGGAGCCCCATTAGCCCGGAATTACACTCGGCACCCCTCACCCCTGTGGCTCGGGACACCCTGAGACACTTAGCCAGTGAAGACACCCGCTGTTCCACACCAGAGCTGGGTTTGGATGAACAGGTAAAGGATACCATCTTTGCATGGGAGTTGATGAGATGGGGGCAGAATTGGCAAAGGATAGCACCTGCTGAAGATAGATCTTCATGATACTTTCTCATTTTGAGGGGATGGAGGGCTACACTTGAAATTGATTATTTGAAGGTAAGATGGGCCAGGTGTGCAGGCACATGCCTGTAATCTCAGATACCAGAGAGGCTGAAGCAGGAGGAACATGCATTTCAGGCCAGCCTGGGCAACTCAGACCCTGCTTCAAAAAATGAAAAAGAATGGGGATGTATCTCAGTAGCAGAGCACTTACCTAGCATGTACAGTCCCCTGAAATCAATCCCCAGCACTCCAAAAAAATAAAACTTTTCCTTTTTTTGAGGTACAGTGGAACTGTACTGGCCATTATTAAAAGCACACCCACCCCAACCCCTACAGGGGTCTTCCTGGACCACTCCATGAACCCTAGTTGGACTGATCAAGGACTCCAGTCTCAATTTCATGGAAAAAAGTAGTCTGGGAATGGGTCCTCACCAGAGCTCTTTGTCTGTCCACAGTCTGTCCAGCCATGGGAGCGACGGACTTTTCCCCTGCCGTATAGCCCCCAGGCAGAGTGTGAGGACCAGCTGGATGCACAGGAACGGGCAGCCCGCTGCACTCGGCGTACCTCAGGCAGCAAGACTGGCCGAGAGACAGAAGTGGCACCAACCTCCCCTCCCATTGTCCCCCTCAAGAGTCGGAATCTGGCAGCAACGGTCACAGCTCAACGCCCAACTCACAGATGAGCAGGAGATGAGAATCTAAACAGACTCACTAACTTGGCATTAAAGCTTCAGAAATCTCTGCGTTTGATATTCAAACATCATGTGCCGGAAATTTTCACAGTTTTTAGTGAATTTAAGGAATTTAGATCTTCCTTTGGTATTTTTTTTTCCTTGTTTTCATTTTTGTTTTGTTTTTGTTTCTGTGTTTTCTTGTCACACACCTGAGCACTTCCTCCAGTTGGCAGACAGATGTTCAGGACAAGACCTTTGTGGCCTGGTCCTGGCACATCCTCTGCACTGTTGAATCACTGGACTTAGCAATGTTAGATGATCACCCCTCTCCCTCACACCTAAGGGCAGGGTGGAAAAGCCAGATGGGCAGAGGGGATGGAAAGCTACCATTCAGCATGGCCTTATGTTAGGGTGGAACAGAGCAAGGGTGCTGTGGGCTCTCAACCCTCCCCTCCCATCTGTGGCTCGGCTGAGCTGTAGCCTTCCTTCCTGGCTGAGTCCACCTAGTTTTCTGGGCTGGTGCACTCACCAGAGCCTCTTTGCTGTAACTGCCAGCTGCTCTCACTTGAGTTCTCAGCTGGCAGAATGGCTTCCCCTTGTCTCCAGTATCTTACAGACTTTTCAGTTTTATCTGCATTTGGTCATCTCTGTCTTGACTCCTTAACTACAGTAACCTGGCTGTGGCTGCTCAGGTTTCCCCCCATCCTGCCCTCTCCTCCCCTATCCTGTCTGTCCTCTGCCGTGCACACATTGGTCCTTCCACTCTGAAGGTATTTACCACCTGTCCTGGTCTATAAAGTTAAGTTTAGGACTACTTAATCTTTGTCTCCTCTCCCTAGGGGGTTTGGGAAGTGAGCAGCCATCTTCCCTGTATAATTTTGTTTTCACTGACTGGTTCACGTAATCATGTTTCCTTCACCTCCAGTTCTTGTCAGTGTCAATTAGACTCTTCGTCTGCCATGCTCCCCTTGCCTGTGGAACATCGTCTGGTCCTCGCTGTGGTTTCCATCACTCCCATCACCCTCCTTTGTTAACCTTGTGCCTGTCTCATGTATAATCACATCACCAAAAAGGGGGAGGGGGGAAGGACCTTTTTTTCCTGCCATTTTGTAATCGTATAAAAATAGTAGACAAACTGCTTAATGGTTCGGGGGTTTTTTCACAATTTTCAACATTAGTGATTTTTTTTTTTTTTTTTTTTGGGTTCTGTTTGCAAGTTAAAGGGTTTGTCATTGTTTCTTTTAAACAACAATAATGCACCATATCCCTATGCATAAAGTGCTTCTATTTATAAGGTTGAAAATTCTGAATAACCCTTTTAGCATTGTAAAAAAAAAAAACAAAAAACAAAAATTTAAAAAAACTTGTATTTTGTAAATATTTTCTTTTCCTGCTTTGAGCTGTGTAATGGCAGCGAAACATGTAGCTGTCTTTGTTCTATAGAAATGCTTTTCTTCAGAGAAGCTGATCTTTGTTAATGTCTTGATTCTGTTCGCAAAGCACAGACTAGTGCTTAAAAAAAAAAGAAAAGAAAAAACGAAAAAAATAAAAAAAAGAGTTACAGAATATTGTGTGTCAGGCCTTCTTGCTGGCTGGGGGTGTGCATGGTTAGCAGTTGCTGCTGGGGAGGTGGCTTTGCTAGAGCCATGCTTTAGGGTTCTGTGACTTGCTTTGAACCTTGGTTCCTCCCCATGTGTCTCTTGGGAACAGGAACATGGGTAAAGTCTTGTTATGGGAGGTGTGGTAATTTTCACTGAGGTGTAAAGGTTGCACAGATCATCTGATTTTTCTTGTTGAGGGAAAGGAGTTGATCCATTGCTTCTCGATGTTCTTTTCTCTAGTGAGGTTGGCAGTGTAGCATTTGTAGCTAAATTGCTCTTTAATGGAGATTTTACTTTTCATCAAACTTTTCTGGGTTTGGGGTCAGTAATTGGTATAGCACATGGGTTGGTTCTTGGCTGCCACTTGACAGAGCACAGTGTATGTCTTCTGAGAATGGCTATGTGCCTGGTTTCCTTGAACAAGGTGGATTAGTGAGTGGGCCTGCTTCTCTTTTCTCCATTCTATCTGAGGCAGTCAAGAGTAAACTTCTAGTGAGGCTGCACTCATGGTTCTGACAGCAATTGTCCTGGGAATATTTTTCTTTGGCTGGCCTGTGGCTGCTGTTATAAATTGTAGATGAAAATCTGCTTGACCGAAGCAGCTGTCTGCAGAGAGGTAAATACATCAGGAAGATGTGAGGAAAGTAATATTTAAAACTTGGTGTGAAAATCTCAGGATTCACACACACACCCTTTGTGGCATTGCTAGGGAGAAGCTATCCAGTATCTTTTTTTTCCCCCCAGTGCTCAGTATGAAACCCAGGTCTTCACACACCCTAGGCAAGTGCTCTACCACTGAACTACCCACCTCTAGCCCCTAGTATCCCTATCTTGAATTGTAAAAACATTTCACAGTCTACAATAAGGTTCCAAAGGAAAGAGCAAGACAGCTATGTATGTAAACCTGGAAGGAACCTGCACTGTTCATTTCAGCTGACTGGCTTGTTTTCTGCTTCAGCCTCAGTCCTCTAGATTTACTTCTAAGAACAAAAGATCTAATATACCCACTCCAGCTTTCTTGGGTTTGAATCCACTGGCAGTCCTACACACTGCAGAATTGTGAATTCAGCCACAAGGGTATTGACTGCCATTGAGGTGGATGGTTTGCCAACACCAGAATGACACCATGAATAGAGAATGAAGAAGTATGAACTCATTTCTCCACGACCCCAGAAAGACCTGTTGATCCTGATGCCCAACTTTTAACAGTACTGCCATGGGATAGAAAAAAACTTGGAAATCATGTATCTTACATCATTTTCTTGTCCTTGGAATCCATGAACAGAGACTTATTTAATCAGAGTAATAACTTTATTTCCAAATTCACTTTTACAGCAACAGTCAATGTCAATCATTTGTTAAAACACAATACACTATATGGACATTCACAAACAGGAAGCTAAGCTAAGATGATTTTTTTTGTCCCTCCCCCCCACCCTCAGAATTACCAAAGAAATCATGGGACTTCAAGTGCTGGAAATTGACCTGCCCAGAACAGCAAATTCACAGGCTGAGTCTGTTAGGTGAGACTCTGGGTTGGTGCCCAGGGTAACCCTTTACAAAGCCAGAGAGACAATGGAAGGCTCATGAAGCCACAGACCTGTAGCTGATGACCACCTCTGCCCTTGTCCACATCTCTTGGTTTATTTGGGAAACAGATGGGGGTGAAGAGATCTCAGCAGCTGCTAGAAGTGTGTACTACATGTCTGGAGCCAGTGGGAGAGGTGACACAGAAGTGCCAGTGGCTTAGAAGGAAGGATGCCAGGGTCTCGGAGGCATGGCAGATCACAGATTCCCACACAAGCCTGACAACTTGTACCTGCTGGGAAGCCATTGGGGATTAGCTGGTTGCCTCTGCAACTGGGAAAACCTGTCAGTGGAGCAGCGAAGCCTCAGGCCTCTAGCCCCATGGCCCCTCCCTCTAGCAAGCGTGGGTGAAATCATGAAAGGGTTACAAGGCGGCTTAACTGCAGCACTCAAAGACTTCCTTTGCCCATGTGAACTATCTTACACGTTCCTTCCCTCCCCCCACAGCACAACAAGCAATCGCAAACAGGATACAGTCTCACCACGGAAGTCACTTTAAATGGAAGTATTGATAAAGTGAATCCACAGCTTGAAGGAACCAGGCATTTAGTATATCCTGTCTAACCCACCCCAGGACCTTGCCTTTGAAGGTGGGGAAAATGAAGAGAGAGAAAGAGTGCCTAGCCCTGGGGAGATTGTCCTCATTAAAGTCACAAGCCAGCATCTCTTTGCAGTCTACTTATCAGCATTGACCTACTCACCCTAAAACCATAATCTTTAGGCTGTCCCCAGTAGCCTACCTACTCCATGTAAGGTGCTGAAGAGCAGGGTGCATGAACTTCAGGGGGGGAAAGGAAGAGGGGCCCATATGTCTAAACCACACTTATCTTTCTCCCTCAGAACTCTTGAGGACAGTGTGGACTCAAGACAGTAGGGAGCCTCATAATGAAAGTTCTGGGCCCAGATAATTCTTTGTTCTGCACAGCCAGCTCCCAGGTTTCCCTTTAATTGTACCTAAGCCAGAAGTGGTAGAACCAGGCCTGAGCCCTCTTAGTTTCTAAAAAAGCTGTTTCCCTTTCCCCACAGCAGAGTTTGTGCAACATCAGTGAGCTGATGAGGCTTTGGGAACCAATGGTGTCTTCTGACGACCCCTTAGTCGGGCAGCTAGTCCCCTGGAGTCTGTCTAGGTCAGGCAATCCGTCCCAATCCCTGCTGGGGAGAAGCCCAGGGGTGGGGGGGAGCACAGACAGGCTCCCAGGTCGAGGGGTGAACTGCCTAGAGGTTCGTGGGGCTGCATGGCCTGTAGCTCTTCCCCAGCAGGCACTGGCTTCCTTCTTGTAATACAGTAGTTTGTAGGGCTTCAAGGACTGCTGTGGGACTTCAGGCTGTTTCCAGAGAGGACCATCTTCATGCTGCAAACCAGGCTAGCCACAGACTGCTCTGCCACAGTGAGGCCAGGGAAGAGGGAAGCTCCACAGCCTCTGTCCAATCCTGGGCTTCAGGCCTTCATAGTGGGGAGTCCTCAGCCAGAATCTGGTCTCTGTTGGGTCCCAGATGCTGATAAAACTCTTCCAAAACTTGGGAGGCTCCAGCCAAGTGGAACCAGACTAGCCTGTGGCCAAGTTCCCACATGGGGGTGAGAGACACCCAACACACCCATGCAGATGCGCTAGATACCTCTATGAGCATTTCAAGATACATGCGTCCTTTTTTTTTTTTTCTTCTTTTCACTATCATAGTCACTCTTATGAATCCAAACATAAAAAGACAAGTCCAATCACAATGCAACAGGGTGCAGATGGGGAGGGAAGGGCAACATCTATTTATATGTTCGGCTGCTCCCACAGACCAGACAGCGTCACTTCCAGCTGGGACTGGGGTTAAGAAGCATTTCCAAGGGGCACGTTCTTCATTTTGGGGTATGGAGGGCTGATTCCATGTGTGTGGAGTTGAACAGCATATGAGACTGGGGGTTGGCAATCACAAACTGGGGTAGAGTGGGGGACAGAGGCAGTGTGACCCTACCCTGGAAGTCTTGCCCATCCTGGTGCCATCATTGACAACCAGGACCCACACCTCCTTCTGCTGCCAGCTCAACATAGGAAGAAAAGACTCTGGGAAGAAAAAGACTCTCCAAGTTAACAAGGCAAAAAACATCTGAGATCAACCCCGAACAGCCCCATCTTGGCTTACATGTGATGGAAGAGAGGGGAGACTACCAAACGAGGTCACTAGATTTCCTGTGACAGGCACCTCAGTTGGATGAGTGGAACTTAGAGCTAGAGACTGAGCCCTAGCCGTTGTACCTGGACACTCAACTGCAGTGCAGGTGCCTCCACATCTAACCAGTGTCCATGACTGGGGTGGGGGAGGTGGGGCACTTGGCCAGTCTGATGTAATGAGGGGTGGGACCATGACTGGGCTCACAGCAGACATGGGCCCAGAGCAACAGGCAGGGGGGCTGCAGTGGCCATGGAAGGGATGGGAGGCTCAAGACCCACCTCCCAGACATAGCCCACCCCCACAGTCCCTAGATGCCGGAGCCGGAGCTGGGAAGGATATCTCCCAAGAGACAAGTCCTTGCAGAGAGAGCTGGTTAGCCCTAAAGTCCCAGGTCTGTGAGGTGACCAAAATCGGGGCTGCAGTTCCAACTTCAGAACTCTGGGTACCCTTCAGGGTTTCTGGGGGGGGGGGGAGCGCCACCTTGGCCTAGAACTCCTACCCTGCAAGGGAGGAAGAAAAAGGCTGGAGTTCTGGAGCGTAAAGGTCAGTCTTTGAAGAAGTAATCCACAAGGTGCCACCTCCTGCTGACCTTCCTTCTCCTGACCACTGTCCCACCACAGGACACCCTCCAGAGGGGAGCACACCACCCACAGCAGAGCCCGCCAAGAAAAGCCATAGGGTGGGAGACTGGTGGGTCACTGAGATGGCTTGCCCTTCCCCTGACACAGGGGAGCAGTGTCCCCCTTTCCCATCCTGTTCATTCGTCCCTCACACCCAGCCTCTCCTCCCTTTCCCACCCTGACCTTGGCCCCTGCCACCCTCTCCATGGCTGACGTCACTGCCTGTAGCTCCACATACATACCAAGTTTCACATCCTTTGTTGCTGCTGCTGTCCCTGTGACACCCCCAGAAGGGGGCCAGAGGCAGTGAGCACCCCACTCCCTTGAAACCCCCAAAACAGCTTTCTAAGCCTCTCCTTCACTTTCTTCTTCTGGGGGGGCGGGGAGGAATTGCCCAGGAAATGTTGGGTGTGGCCATGTTTTTACATATTTTAAAAAATATTATTAGCCCACTGATCAATTTGGAAAGATGAAATTTGCTCTTATTCCCATCACTGATTTTGAAGTCCCGAACCAAGCTGAGCTACAAAAGCAGGTCAGGTGATGTCCCTATTTACCGTCTGTGAGGAGCAGCGGGGGAGGGCAGAGGGCGAAGGGCCAGATCAGTATTCTTTTTTTCCCACACTCTCTCACTCTCTTCTCTCTCCATGATTATTGACCTCCCCGGGGGCCTGATCACAAACCCTGCTTGGCCAGGGAAGCAGACACCTCATCAGCTAGAGTGGCGAGCTGGAGCGAGTCCACCATGTTGATGCTCCCAGTGGAAGAGACATTGCTGAGGTGCCTCGGAGACGTGTCCCCAGACACCACCGGCGACTTGTACACAATTTCTGCCCCGTGATCTGTCTTGGCTTTGGCGTTCTCTCGGAAAGTCAGCTTGTGGGTCTCGATCTATAGGGAAGAGGTGGTGAGGAAAGGGTGAGATGGATGAGAGGCAAAGGACAAACCTTGCCAACCGCTCCCCACAGTTGGCCTTTGGTGGGAGAAAGCCGGGTTTGAGATTGTCTTCCAACTGACAGTACTTGTGTACAATCCTTCCTTCACCTGCCTCCCCAGAGACAGTGCCCCTCCAGAGCTATCCCACACATTCGCAAATGTGTTGTTTAATACGTATAGTAACAGTATACACATGCTTGGCACTTTGGTTTTTAAACTTAATGCCTTCTGTTCTCAGTACAGAGAGCTTTCCCATGCTTGCTGATGGCTGCTTAGTATATATCATCACAGCAGATGTATCCAAAGTTATCTATCTACTCCCCTGCAGATGGATATTTAGAGTTCCAGTTTTTTGCTGTTACAATGTTGTGTATGAATAACCCTGAGTAATCTTGTATACACACCATTTCACACAGAAGTGTATCTTAGAAGCAGAATTGCTAGATCAAAAGGCATTTTTTTTTTTAGGTACTGGGGCTCAAACCCAAGGTCCCACACATGCTAGGCAAGCACTGTAGCAATGACCTACACCCAAGCTCTGTGCATTGTTTTGCTAGATTACTGCCCACTTGCAACTGCAAGTCTTAATGGAAAAACTGCAGATCAAGAACTGTCTCCAGAGCCACCAAAGCCAGCCATGAGCCATACACATTCCTCCTTACTAGTGACCAATAAGGAGTCTGAATGTAGCCAGGCGTCCCAAAGCAGAGTGGGAAACTTGGAAGTGGAAAGCATCAGTTGGAGGTGTGAATGGTGCATAATTAACCCACAGTAGCAGACACTGTAATTCTCAACAGTGCTTTCGGTCCTCAACTCTGGGCATCTGATGAAGCCAGAATAAATGTATACCCATACAATTGCAGGGGTCTGTGTGACTGTATGTGCAGAGCCGCTGCTGCAGGGCTTGAATGTGCTCATACAGAAAAACCGAGCTCCCATTTCGGCTACATGCATACGTCTCTCTCCTTGGGTCACTTTAATTTGTTTTGCGGTACTGGGACTGAATCCAGAGCTTTCACACTGTGCTACATCCTCAGCCCTTATTTATTTTTATTTTTATTCTGAGATAGGGTCTCGCTATGTTGCCCAGGTTGGGCTCAAACTTGCACCCTCCTGCCTCAGCTTCCCAGAGTCCTGGGATTACAGGTGTCCACCACCATGCCTGGCTAGAGTTATTGTTCTGAAAGAGACCCTTTCCATAGTACTGCATTTGAAGGGCTATTTGAGAAAAGTTTTGATAAGAACACTGACTTTAATTTTTTTTAGACTGGGTCTCCCTGTGTAGCCCAGGCCAGCCTGCAACTTGCAATTCCTCTGCCTCAGCCTCCAGAGTAGATCAGATTACAGGCCTGTACCACCATACCTAGCTTTATATTAATGTTTTTTAAAGGCTTTGTTTTTACCAAAAAAGCAATAGATACCTAGGAATTTCAAAAATTCCCAAACTGAAAGGAACCCAGGGGGCTGATCATGTGCTCCACTGATTGTCAGAAGTTTTGCTCATCACATTAGGGAGATGAATCTGAGGAGGCTCTGTTAGAAGTCCCCAGGATGGTTTTTCTGAGCAGGGGCAGGGGTAGGGGCCTGCCTACCCTTTCTGGGCCATCACAGAAATAAGTAAGCAACGGAGGAGTTGAGAAGTTTGGACTCTGCAGTGTCCCTAACTCAGGTTCTTAGAGGACTGTGATATACCAAGAAGCTTCCAGACCACTGTCTCATTTGGGTCCCAAGCCCGCTGGGATGTAGCTATTTCCATCCCATTTTGCTGAAGCCGAAACAGAGGTTGAAGATCTGTAGATCTTGCCTAAATGACATCTCCAAGCACAGTCAAGCCTGGAACTTTTTTCAGGGCATAGAAGCTTCCGGAGACTGGCAGAAATCTTCCTTTACCCAGGGAATCTCAACAACCTAGGCTGGCCCCAGACATACTGAACCAGACTCTGGCAGGTGCCAGGCGAGAGGATCACTGAAGTATCCCAGAGCCAGGAGGCCACCGGGGTAAGTGAGGGACAGAAATGGTGGAGCCTTGGGCTCCCAGAGAGCTGGGCTTTGCCCTGTGTTCAGGGATGTGGCCTCCTGTCCCTCTATCTCCCTACTTCTGACAGTGACCCAGGTACTGGGAAGGGTTCCAGCACCTGGGGCTGCAGAAGTGCCACAGAAACTTGTTTCATCTGGTTCTCCATAGAGACCAGAGTTGGCACCCTAGGGAGCTGGAAGGCATGAGGGTGTCTCAGGGCCAGGACTGCTCACCTTCCCTCAGCCCTGGGGGTCCCATTCTGGGGTGATCATACCAGCAAATGCTTCCCCACAAAACTATGCTGTGGGCCATTCAAACAACACATAAGGGGGTGGCCGCCCACTCAGAACCAGGGGCAGAGGTGGCAGGGGCTGCAGGGGAGGGCAAGAGTATGCTGTGCGACTGTCCAGGGCAGGGGACTCCAGGCTGCCACCCAGCACAACTGGAAAGAGCCCAGCTGCCCTTCCTGCCAGCTGTATCAGCTGCAGCAGTGCCCCTTCTCCCAATAGGTTGAGTTTGATTCTACACCTGTTCTGGGACATCCCTTCTCCTTCATCACTCCACAGTCAGCTGCAGGAGCCAGAAAGGGAGCCACCTCCAGAACGCTACGGCAGGTGTGCTTGGGAAGCCCCAGGAGGATGCTGCGGCTGCAGCTGTGCAAAAGAGAAAACATGCAGCCACACAGTCACAGTGTGCTGGGCTAGGGGAGCTTACTTAGGTGCCCCCTTACCACCACAGCCAGACAGCAATGGTCTGGAGCTGCAGGGAACTTCATGGTCCCGCAGCCTCCATGTGAGTACTTCCATGATGGAAAGGCAGAGATTTCAGCATCATTGCTTTGTGCTATCTAGCAACCAAATTAGAAAATTAGGTATGTTCCTAGGACTTGGCGCACCAGGGCCAGCTTTGGGGATGGTTATGTGCTCTTGTGTGTGCTTGTGAGCCCTAAGGCCTAGGAGAGGTTCTCACTTTTGATGACACTAAAAATCACATGGCAGCTTTAAAAACTCCAGATACCCAGTTGTACCTGAAACCAATCAGTCTGCCTCTGCAGCCTCACATTTGTCAAAACTCCTGAGTGATTGCAACTGGCAGCTGATGCCTGGACCAGCTGTTGCTGAGAGTCCATATAGAGCCAATCCGTATAAGACCCCTCACTTCCTCCTTGAAAAACTGGACCAGCTTTGTCCAGTCAATTAACACCCATATCTGACTGTGGCCTCCTCCCTGCCCTGCCCCCTTTACCTTCTTATTCCCTCCACCAGGGACATGGGTGATATTATCCAAGGACCCGATCTTCGACTGGACCCTATCCTTGAAGTCCAGCTTCTCAGATTTCACTTCTACCTGGCCACCTCCTAGAACACAAGACACAGAAAAGCCTCTGCTATGGTTTAGTGGACTTAGCCAAATTCACTGAGTTCTGCAGCCTACAGAGCCAAGTGCCAGGGCCTGCTGGGGCACAGCAAAACTAGGTCAGGTTCCACTGCTCTGGAGGGGAGTACTTGATGTGACTTTCACCATGATGCCAACAGAGGCTGAGCAAGTGATTCCAAACAGAGGGCACCCTTTAGGAATTGACAAGATGCCTTTCATCAGAATGGGTTTGGATACAAGTAGGTCCTTGCAAAGAGCTTTAAAACAGTTTTTTGGGGGGCTTTTTTTGTTTTGTTTTTTTGGTACAGGGGATCGAACTCGGGACCTTGCACTTGTGAGGCAGGCGGTGGAACTACTGAGCTAAATCCCTAGCCAGTGCCTCCTCCTTTTAATCAAGGTATGCATCAAATATTTACTCTGTAAACTCTTCCTCCTTAGATGTTACAAAAGTAAACTCATTCCAGGAGAAATTATGTTAAATTCTAAATTGGCTGACTTCCAACAAGAGAAGTCTTAATATCAACATCAGGTAAGGTACAATCCCACAAGACCTTGGAATTAAATTGAATGTCAAATTAAAGATCCTGATCCTCTCTCTCCCTCCCCAGCCTTTCATGCTATGTAGCCACTAAAATTCTAGTTAAATAAAATTAGTTTCTCTGCTGCACTAGCCACATTTCAGGTGTTCCAGCCACATATGGTTCGTGACTACATTGGCCACCACTGGTTTCTCTTAGTGCAGGGTGAAGAGTGACATGGAGGAGCTCTAGTAGCCTCATTTTCTGTTTTAAAAAAGCCACAGCCGGGGCATAGCAATGGCCCAGAGGTCTCATGTTGCAGCTGGTGTGTGAAATATCCCGTGTTGTCTTGGGACCCCTTTAGGGGCCAGATCAGACCCACTGCCAGCCCTGGACACCTTGTATACAGCCTGCTGAAGAACCATGGTCAAGCCACGACCAGTATTTCCCCTCCCTCCATGCCTCATCTTGGCCAACACGGTCCTACTCAGGACAAGCTGCAGCAGTCATGCATCCTAGGCCCCAGCAAGTTCCGTGTTTAACACAGCCTAGGGATCCTTCCCAGCCGCTTTACCCACCCCACCCCACCCCACCCCAGCACCTTCTTGTCCAAACCCTCGCCATTTGCCAGGGCTACCTGGTTTATGATGAATGTTGCCTAATGAGCCACACTTGGAAGTCACCTTGCTCAGATCCACTGGTTTGTAGACTATTTGCACCTGGAGGTGAGAGAAGATGAGAGAGACACAGACAGAGAATAAAATGGGATTATTTTATGATGGGCGTAACACAATGAGAAGCAGCTGTGCAAGCCTGGGCCACTCGGTCAGTGGTTCCTGTCTGCAGCAAGAAACACACTCAGTCAGGGTGGGAAAATGCATTGTTGAAGTTTGGCCAACCTGCCCCAACGAAGCTGGTCTTCACAAAATAATTGCGGGATCGGAATATCTTCAATCCCCAGAGAGCAAAAGGCCCTCACGGAAAAACAGGAACACCTAGTCATCGTGAAGGGTCATACTATTTATTTAGCAAATACTTCAATGTAAAAAAGTTACTCCTTTCCTGACATGAAATCGACTGATCACATTCAGTGAAGACAAAAAGGAAAAAGTGGCTGACATGATCAGTATATGCAGCCTTTACAAAGTCTCCCTGGGAAGGCCAGCATGTGGTCTCAGCTGGGCCTGGGAGAGGAGAGGCCTTGAGGATAGATGGGTGGGCTCCATTCCAGGAAGCAGCCACAGACCGCAGCTCCCCCAGCAGAGTGAAATGGTCAGCAAGCAGGGCCCAGAGTGGCAGAGCACCCAGGGTAAGAGCCAGCCTGCACCTGGGCATACAGGGTCCTGGCCATTTCACCCTCTGCCAAAAGGAGCAAAGTGACACCAGTAGGATGGGCAGGTGCACAGCAGAACCACAGATTCAGCAGCATCTCAGCCAATGTGAGCAGACTCAGACACGTGGGAAGACTACAGGCACCAGGGCTCAGAGCCAGCCCAAGGGTCCAGTGCACTCCTGCCTGCAGGGAATGACAGCCCCTGAGCCACCCACTGATATCAGCTCCCCTGAGGGGGGACCCCCAGGGGTACAAAGCTATGGCTGTGAGGGGCCTGGGTGGCCAGTTACTGGGTCCCAGGAGCCTCTTACACTGACCTCATGTGGACACAGGAGGCTCTGGGAGAGAGGTGGCCTCAGAGTGTGAGAATCAGCTCAAAGCCAGCAGAAAAAAGGAGCTTCTACTTAGGTCTAAATGGAACAATCACACGTTTTGTTTGAAGCCATGTTGGCATTTGCTGTTTATCGATGGAGAGGTAAATGAAGCATAGGAACATGTGTGGGGAGGATGAGGGAGTGCAGCCTGTACCTAAGGTGGGGGGAGGAATAAACCTTCATGATTTCGCCTCCAAGTCCCCAGGTGTTAAATTCGCTCACAGCAGACCCAGAGAGCTGTGGAGTAAGGAGGGGCCTGAGAGAAGCCTGAGGATGAGTTTGTGCACATAAACTTCCATCGGACCTGGCCAGCCAGGAGGATGACAGCATCTCTGAGCTCACAAAACAGTCAGGTGGGGAGTGAGGATCTGAGTCCCACATCTCACAGGGTCATACCCACTGGGGACGCCGTGGCGGGGGGGATGTCCTCAAGGATATTTGGAAGAAGCCAAAACATTTTGTTTTGTTTTTCTGAGACAGTCTTGCTTATGTACTTCAGGCTGGCCTTGAACTCACTACATAGCCCAGGCTGGCCTCAAACTCACTGTGATCCTCCTGCCTCAGCCTCCCTAGTGCTAGGGTTACAGGTATGTACCACCATGCCGAGTTTACTGGAAGAAGCCTCATTTAGAGGGTAAGGACCATCTGTACATAGGTCTGGGGACAGCATGAGCTCTTGGCTGGGTGGGCAGAAGAAGGCAGATGGGGAGGCTGAAGCAGTGCTGCTGTGACCAGAGCCACACTCCCTTCCCTCTGGGCGGGGCAAGGTCAATAGTAAGAGGAAACCAGGATGATGCAGGAGCAGGAGATGGAAGCTGGAATGGGCAGAGGAGCCAGGAATGATGGGTAGGCCCCTAGGCAGGCAGTCAGAAAGACTACAGCAGGTGGGGAGACTTGGAGAGGAGCCTGGAGCCCAGCCAGGAGGGTGGCATCTGAAGTAGAGGAGCCCTTCCAAGCTGGGGAGGGGCAGGAAGCAAGGAAGAGGCAGGATCCAGTGCCCCAAGATGCCAGAGGTTGACAGAGTACAAGGGGTCATAACCACCATCAACCTTCTCCAGAAGGGCTTTCTTTGAAGACCAAGGAGAGTGCTCAGGGTCAGCCTGGGCTATCTTGTGGCTCTGTGTAAAGTCACAGGCTGCCACAGAGCAGGACATATTGAAGGAAGCCCCATGTGTCCTGGGCACTACAACTTCTTTGGGACGGTCAAGTACCTGTCACCAGAAGGAGTAGGCCACATTGTCCATGTACTCTGTCTTCCTGCCCTCCCCTGCAAGGAGCGTCTGCCTTCTGTGGCCGATGGCCCTGCCAGACAGCTGAACATGAGCCAAACCATAAAACACATGGCCTTTCTCCTCTGGCCTGAGCAGACATCAGCAGGAGCAGCCAGAACTCAGGACTCAAAGCTAGAATCCCTCAAACAGCAGCTGCACAGGGGCCCAGGTGCAAGCAATGGGCAGCAGGTGGGTGTTGCCCGAAACTTCCTCTCTCCTCTTGGCAGAAGACAAGTAAGTGGGAGGGACAGGAGCACAGGGAGTGGGGACAGTGGAGACACTTAGCAGACACTGGAGAGGAAGCCTTAGTGAAGGCCATGCAGCAGCCGCAGGGCAAGCTCTTGCTATTTACAGGCCTTAGAGCAGGAGGAGGTCAGGTGCTCAGGGCTAGAGACTGCACATTGCAAGAATAAACCCTCTAGGCCAGATGCAGCAAGGGTCCTATTCTGGAGGGAAAGCCCTCCCAGGGGGCTCCAGCAATCAGGTGGTGCTGCCTGCTGGAAGCCAGGCCTTTTCTCTCAGAACCCAGCCTCTCCCCGCATTTTTTTCTGAGACAGGATCTCACCAAGTCACTACATTTCCCAGGCTGGGCTCAAACTTGCAATCCTCCTGCCTCAGCCTCCCAGAGTGCTGGGATTACAGGTGTGTGCCACCATGCCTGGCTAAGGATCTCAACCCTCCCTCCCTGCAGTTCCCAGGTGTTGTGTTCACTCACAGCTGACCCAGAGAGCTGGGGAGTGAAGAGAAGAGCCTGCAGATGAGTTTGCACACACTGCTCAGTGGACACAGGACAGCAGCAGGAAGACCCTGTTTCTGAGCCCATGGATGTGGGAAGTGAGGATCAAGCCCCACATCTCACAGGGTCACACCCCTGTGACCCAGGGCGTTCCCAGGGACATTTGGAAGAAACCAAATTTAGAATGGCTGAAAGTACCACTTCTCTGTCAAACCGACCGCAGGCAGAGTCACCTGTGGCACGTCCATTAGGCTTTTTGCATCTGGAGTCCACTTGAGAATGGAGCTGGGTATAAACCTAAGCTGAGAGGCTTAGGAACTGGCTCCTCTCTCAAAGATGCAGGAGACAGAGTGGAGCAGAGAGTGGACCCGCTTGTCCTTAAGGTGGAATAGTAAGACCTCTATGTCTACTGGTCAGAACAAATGGGCCACCTGCCCACACTAGAGCCACCTAAAGTGAACCTGCCCTGGAGACAGAGAAAGTGACAGTGCCACCATCTTCCTCCCCAACTTCTAATAGGGCTCCTGGGGCAGATCCAGGGCAGTGAGTGGGTCAATGATGGGCATCATGCTGTGAGGACCGAGCTTCACAGGGAGGGGCCAGCGAGAGGATCAACCAGCGTCTCTATTCTGCCCACACAGCCTCACAGCCAGGGCCCTTTCCGGAACACAAGGAAGGGGTCCTGGGAAACAGTCAACACAGTGTGGGGATTTGGATCCTGAGCTACATTGTCCTGGGATACATCGGGAGATCCTGAGCCCGAGATGATTTATTCTATGCAATGCTTTGCAAGTATATACACTCATGCCACTTCTCAAGACTGAGACCGCAGAACGGTGCATGGAAAGTGTGAAGGTACTCACACTGCCGCCGCCCGGGACGTGTTTGATATTATCCTTTGAGCCACACTTGGACTGGACGTTGCTAAGATCCAGCTTCTTATTAATTATCTGCACCTTTGATAGCCAGAAAAAAGGATGAGTGACACACCACCCACGGATCCGTCCGCTCTGCACCAACACTTGCTTCCTGTCCTTGGGTGGGAGGAGAGGCGCTCTGCGCACGGGTGTCTGGGGAGGGGGAGACCAGCCGGCAGGAGGGGAGGAGCAGGCTGCCCAAGAAGAACTGCAAATTGTGCAAACATGAGATTACAAGACAGATCCCAGGAGGAAGTAGGTACTTGCTTTACAAACATTTTTGTGTGTGGAAAGGGTCCCTCCAAAAGCACCTTAGGGCCCTGTGAGTCAGAGGTGAGGGCCAACAGGTTGGGATGGCAGAAAAATGTGCCCAAATACATCCATATATGAGCAAATAAGAAGTCCCTGGTGTCTTCACTCACACGTCCTCCCAAAGTGGCAGAGCATCTCAAAGAACTCATGTGGCTGTTCTCAGGCCTGCCGGGCACTGCAATCACCTGTCGATTTTCTTTGAAAGAAAACTCCAGGCCTGGCAGGTGTGGCTCAGTGATGCAGCACTTGCCTAGCATGTGTGAGACCTGGGTTCCACCCAGGAGGTTGAGGGGAACCTTAGACCCATCCTTGACTTAGGATCAGAATCTTCAGGAGTAGGCCTTAAGTCACTACACTTGGGACAAGTACCTTGTAACTGCCATGCAGCTAGATCTGAGAATCCTAGACCTGCTGGGTGTCTCACACAGGGCCTCATAGAGAAGACAGACTGTGTCCCCTCGCAGGAGAGCTCTGGTCTATGGAAGATGGGAACAAGCCCTCCTCTCACCCCAGGCACCCTCAGGAGCCTGGGCCTGACCCTGCTGTGCTCTGTTCTCAGTGGCTCTGGAAGTGGGTTTGGCTACCTGGCCCATGGCTGCATTTCTGGGGTTTCCTCTTCGGCACCAGGGAAAAGCATAGAGGTGATTTTTCCCTAATTTGTCTAAATTTATGAAATAGACAACCATAGCTCAGAGATGGAGAGCAAAAACCTGCATTCTGTTTGCTGGACCAGGGATGCTGCCTGTCTCACTAGGTCTCTCCCATCTAGGGACTCTATGGAAATAGTGTCTCCGGGTTTTTATCAATTAAACATAAATCAGGGCCAACTGGAGTTCCTAATTAAGAACCAGCAGTGCTGATTTGGTTTCTAAAAATCTGAAAATAGAACTAGACCTCCATTCGTGCCTTTTCCGATGCTGGGCTTGGGGGACCAAGACCTGTTGAGCCAGGTTGGGGACAAGGCACTGCTGGCTTCCAGCCTTGCCCCTTTATATCTAAATTTTACTAGTCTGAATCTGAAAACCTCAGAATCACATCTTTAACCCACCTCTTCATTTTCTTTTATGTTCCTTTAAAGGAAAACAAAAACAGGAGCCAAGCATGGTGGCGCACACCCGTAATCCCAGCGTTTGGGGAGGCTGAGGCAGGAGGATCATAAGTTTGAGCCCAGCCAAACTGGGCAACTTAGTGGCTTAACAAGACCCTGTTCTCAAAAAATAATTATACATATATATATCAGTGCTTTCCTAGTATATCTTGAAGCCCTGGGTACCAACCCTGGTACTGCAAAAAATAAACAACAACAACAAAACTCTATTTTTTCCATTAGAAAACAACATGATTTTTGAAAACAGAGGTTTAAAAAGCAAAAACAGTTGCCTTATCAATCTAACACAAGCACTATTGCATTTTATTCTATTTCCTTGAGTCTTGCTTATATATAACTACCACCACACATATACAAATGATAGAATTATTGTGTACATATAATTTTGAATCCTGCTTTATCAAGTAGCATCATATCCTAAGCATTAAGAGTAGTATTACTATTAGTATTTGTTGCCCAATTTGGCTTCTCTTGGGCTCAAGTGATCCTCCCATTTCAGCCCCTAAGTGGCTGGGAATATAGGCTTTGGCCACTGTGCCCCACTAGGCATTATTTTTAATACTATGTGCTATTCTGTTTTCTGAATATTGTTCCTGTACTATCAAACACATGCACTGATTCCACTGTAAATAATCAGAGTCCCATGAACCCCTTTCTAAAAGGAATTCTTTTCCATATTATAGATTATTTTCAGAGCAGAGTCCTAGAAATAGAATTTCTGGGTCAAAGATATACATATTCTAAAAACCCTCAGCATGACTCTCCAATTGGCTTTCTAAAAGAGATGGATTGATTTTCCCTGTGAACACTATTGAGAAAACCAGCTTCACTCTATTGCTGCCAGCATTGGGTATTTAAATAATTGTTTTGGCTCTTACCAACTCGATTACTTCCAGGCAGAGACAAGCTTTTCCAGGTCAAGGGCATGGGCTGGCAGCCAGAAAGCTTGGGCTGGAATCCTGGCTCAGCCACTGACCTTAGGTAATCAACCTAAGCCCTCTTTGCCTCACCCTCCTCACCTGTAAAATGGGAACAATAATAGTACTGACCTCCTAGATTGTTTGAGAGATGAAATGAGTTAATACCTGGAAAACACTGAACATAAGGCCTCCTGGACATAGTAACTATGCAGTAAGTGGTAGCTATTATTATCATTATCATCCTGGGAATAACACAAAATCATAATTACAGTGCAATGCCATAAAAATGGTTTTGCGTATTGGCCAAATAAGCACAGATACACTGTTGGCTTATTCTGCATGTCTTTCTTACTGAATTGCTCCTTTACTCTCCTGTTGTGTTGGTAGGTATGTTTCTTCTAGCATACAAATGGTTACATTTTTATAGACTCAAATATCTTCCTTTATAATTTCTTCTCTGGTGTTTAAATTCAGAGTTGGATAAAGTAACTCTGTGTGGCTTTTCTTGCCCACGGTCACCCTTGTTTACAGACTAGGACACCATCTGAGGGCCGGTGAGGCTCAGCGACTTTCACAAGAGCTCAGTTCTGGGCGTCTGTGTAGCCACAGGTCATCCATATGACAAAGTTTCTCCTGAGCTGTCCTTGAGGCTATTGCCTCACAAACCAAATACATAAAAAAAACCCTGCTCCTTTGGGGCACTGACGTTCTCTCCTGCAGGCTCCAGTGGGGAAGGGTGGGTGGGAGAGGCTTCTCACACTGCTTCTTAAGGAGTCGCTACCACCCTCCACACAATGGCTGTTTCACATGATGCTGGGGGTCAAACCCAGGGCCTGCTGTATGCCAGGCAAGCTCTCTACCACTGAGCTACCCTTCATTCCTTTCTATTTTTAAATTTTGAGACAGAATGTCACTCAGTTGCCCAGGCTGGCCTCAAACTTGTGATCCTCTTGCCCCAGACTCCAGTATGCTGGCATTACAGGCAAGCACCACTGATTTTAAGGACTCCTGCATGAATTCCACCTTGGGGAATCATTTTTTATTCATAACTTTTCATTGGATAAGTCTTAGAAGCTGATGTGCTTGGTTTCAAAAAGGAATGAGAGCACTTCAGAATTAGAAAATACACACTCATTGATGAAACAAGAAAATTTAAAGGATAATGTTAAAATAAGGGGAGGTAATCAAGACTGACAATTACAAGACTGATATATTACATTTAGCTCTGAGCTTCCTAGAAGTGAAAGCAAAAATAGAAACATGATGGGTTATATAACTCTCCTTATTTGACAAAGAAAATTTAACCAGGTTTTCAAAGAAGGTAACCTTGTTTTCAGTACTAATCCATAAAAGAAACTAATCGTGAATTAAAGGACATCAGGCAATGACTCAAGGTCTGCAACATACATAGTGACTTTTTTTTTCCCCTGCCTGGCTTTTTCTTGTTCAACCCCCCAAAAAGGCAATAAGCTTTTGCAGGAGTTGACAATAAACACAAATATATTTACAAAGCAGACCTGAATTACTGTTAGTCATCCAATTACATCAACACTCTTTACAGAAAGGGAGAGAAAAGGGTAATGTCTGGCCTTATGAAATTGGAATCCTGAAATTTAATTTCTGAGCTGGAATAACAGATGATACTGAGCTTCAGCTCTGGACAGGCACTAGAAATACTCATCAGGGGAGAGGATGATGTTTTGAGAGCTCCAAATTTTGACCAGAGGGACTAGGGAGAGAAATATCTGTGGCCCGGGTTTGACCCCAGAGGAAGAGGCTGCAGGGAGTGAGTGGGGGCCCTGGGGCAGGTCCATTTTGGCTTAAACCTTTTTCCAGAGAACACAAACCTGTCCCAGGCTCTCACCAGGCTTTGATCTGGTTCTGTCTGAGCTCAGATTTCTCAGGCCGCTCCCTCCCTGGCCCCAAGTTGCCCCCCCACCCCCAGCTCCCAGACCAGCTCTGGCCTGATTCAAGCACTGCCTGGCACTTGCTGGGCTGGGCCATGCCTCACCATGGTGAGCAGACCAGTGCAGTGCTCTGATGGGAAGCTACCCAGGGATAGGCACTGCACGTCCACAGCAAGCCGTGTCTTCAAGTCCAAGGTGATTGGCCTGGGAACTAATATGGGAAACCCTGTCTATTTCCTATCAAGTCAACTGGCCAAAGAAGAGATCAAATTACAGGGAATTGCCTTTAGAATTATGGGCATTGTTTTTTAGACAGTGACTGCCTCAGCTTCTTTAAGATGATTTTATTTACACAAGAGTTTTCAGAAGGACAGACACATAGGGTACAGGACTGGATGCCGCAGGGTCTCAGGGTTACAGAGCTGTCCCAGGGAGGGTCTGTCTGGCTCTGCTCTTTGCTACTGCAGGGCCTGACAGCCTGTCACTGGGTCCCAACCCTGACACAGAAGGAGAGGCAAATTAACCCAGGTTCAAATTCATTTTATTCCACATACATGTTCTACATGTACACTTTTAAATGTGACAACTGGGACTTCGTTAACAAATATAAGACATTTAAAAACACTTAAGTTTTCCGTAAGTATCAGGGATGAAGAAGAGGAGCAGATATAGAGGGGTGAAAAGAGAAATAGCTGCATGTGGTGATGTATGTGGTGGTGTATGTCTGTAGTCACAGCTACTCAGGAGGCTGAAGCAGGAAGACTGCAAGTTCAAACCCAGCCTGAACAACTT